AAAAAAATTTTACATATAATTTTTTTATTTGAAACATAGATTATATATATTAATGAATTTTAAATTTTTTATTAAAAAAAATATACAGAATCTAATTTGAGTTTATCTAGATTGATCGGATTTTGATGAACTATTATTCCGACCAATTTTCTATTAAATTTAAATTAGTTTCATCGTCAGGTTAACCCATGGGATCGGGTTTTATAATTACGGCTACTGGGACGCTCAAAAGTCCAATGGCACGACAAATTTAAACTGAAAAAGACCATATTACCCTATCTTCATCTGTTTGTCATGTGAGGAAAATAACTGGTAATGCTTAGGAAAACACCATTACATCGATAGAGCGAAAACAGCTGTTCCACACCCCGGTTCCACCCTGCTCTTCTCGAGACAAGAAGCCAAGAACTTCTTCAGCAGTTTTACAAGTAGAAATAAACAGAAAATGGATGCATTCCATACTTTCTACTCCGAGAGAATTGGGTGAAACGGAGCTCACATGTTTGACGCCACTTATCTTCTCATATTCGACTATGTTATGCAATTTCCACGAATCTAAATCTGTCGAGGTTTCTTGGGATGAACAAGTTAAACCCCGAAATAATTAGTCGAATTATAAAGGGACAATTGATAGGGTATCTCCTGGCTTGCATAATACTCTAGATTAGGTTTTTGAGTTCATCATCTTATATAAGCACTTTTTAGCTACTATTCTTCTTCAATACGAGATAATTACTCCTTATGTGCATCCGACAAATCTCCTTAATTATCATACGTGAATCCGGCCTATTCGAACAGTACAGATCTTCTTCCAACAAAAGTATTTAATGATCCAGGTGCGATATCTAGAATTCACAAGAACTCAATCACGATCGCCTCTTGTCCCAAGCCAAACCTTTGATTTAGATACTAATTTGTTACGGAGCTGTAACATGCAAAGGCTTCTAGGTTCATGTTAGGAGTGCGAGCGCGCGAGCTTGCACAAGGATGAGCACCATCTTCAACTAAAAAACTTTGACGAGAGTATCATGAATCTATCTTATATATAAACACTCCTTTTTAAAAAAAATAATAATATAAATTAAAATAAGAGAACCTATCATTTCCATATACATTCAACATATTCGGTTAACATCATGAACGATGATAGGAGATCTGTTCATTGATCTCAATTTCTGATTACATAATCAAATCAAGGTTTTCTGTAGTCAATTTCTCTTTTTTTGTCTTTGATGATATACTAAAATTTTATCAATATATTTTTATAAAAAAATATTAAATAAAAAAATTTATGGTTATAAATTTTTTAAATACAAACACGCCCTAATGAAAATATTGGTTTTGCCCCTAGCCAAGCCAAGCCTGACTATTTTTGAACTTGACAGTATATCAAGCCTTTACCATGCTGGGTTTGGTCCTAACAACGATTGACTTTTCAAGCAAAGTAATTAGGGTATTCTAATTTCTAAACGAATATCCAGCACCATCTCCAAAATATATATTCTCTTAAAAACTTTCTTTATATGTATCATTTAGATCATCTTGGCTCTTAATAAAAATATAAGTTTTTTGAATATAAATAACTTATTAAAAATGATTTTTTATTTTTTTAAATGATGGTTAAAGCCTCCCACGTAGAAATGTGCATTTATTCTAGGAATGGATTGATGTGTAGAGATAAATATAATCTCCATAGTACTGTATGCATCAATGTTTAGTTAGTATACGAGATCAAAAGAGTTTTAGATGCTTTTGACTGAGCATTTAGTGTTTGAAAAATAATAATAAATTTTCATGTGATGTAATTTTAAATTATAAATTTGAAATAAACAAATATCTTTAACTATTAAGCTAACCATTGTTTTTTATTGTTATGAAATCATTTAGGAAAAAAATAATAAATAAAAAAGGATCGTATACATTGAATATGCCCAACCATCTTTCCCGGCCCATCTCTTGATTAGCCTTCTCGAATAAATTCCTAGCGGAAGACAGGTAGACGTGGGGTAGGATCATCGATGCTCTTCGCCTGCTGTGGCGACAAGTAGATCATCACATGCAGGACCATTTGGATCTTGCATGGATTCGAGGCAAACATGGAATTAATTTTGTTAAAATGAAATCTTTAGAGAAAATAATTTTCTTGTAAATCATTGATGGTTTGATATTCATACAAATACCACACACAATTGAAGAAAATATATTGTAGAAATGCGATATTGCTCCTGGAAGCAAATGATTACATGATTCTTTCTGTTATATTCTCCGTCAAGTTCAGTTTGCATCACAGTTAATTTGTTAGGAAACTCGATGTTGAAACTCAATCTCAACATGCAGTTGAATGAAAAAAACAGGATATTTTTTAAAATTACCACAATTTTTTTTCATCTTGTTATATTTTAATTTTTAAATATAATAAGATAATTTTATTGATTTAAAATAATAATATTTATTAAATTTTGAGCTTCTGATTTGAAGCGCAATAAAGTAAAATTCTAATAATTTAGTTCAATTGGTCTATTATTTCAACAAAACTATAATTTATTGAATTTTTTTTCGTTAAATGTGTTTTATGTGTTAAAATATATATTTTTATCTAACTTGTAACTGAAAAATAAATTAAAATTAAAATTTTAAAAATTTACTGTTCATAATTCACACATAAGCTATCCTTTGTTATTTAATGTCAATGATATAGTTGAGTCTATAATAATAAATAATTTTAAGCAGCTAAATATTTAATTGTATGAGAATATACTCTAAATATATTATATTATTGATCTAACATATGTTTCTATTAATGAACAATAATAAAAGTTTGGGTTTAAGAAAAGATCTTACTGTATTATATCTAAATAACATCTTAAAATTGTTATAATTTTTTATTTAGATTATATTTTATAAAAAAATAATAATTTATTGCTATGTAATTAGTCAATTATTTTGATTTTAATAGTTAATTTCACAATTTGTCGAACAGCAATCAGTGGCCAAAGCAATAGCTTGCTTTACAGGCGAGTACAATTCTCCACTAATTTCACTGTCTGAATTCTGAAAGGTAGTGAAGGGATAAGGTTTGATGGAATAAGGGGGTCCCAGCGAGGGAAAAGAATGGAAACCAGGCCACGTACAGGAACAGACATATCATTCATGGCCAATCCAAAAGATACGATTTCGAATAAAGTTATGTGCCGCTCTGTCAATAAAGGACCGTACCCACTCTATCTTCCACTTTCTCTTTCGATCTCCAATGTCAAAGATTTGCACGATTACTACCACGTGACCATTTTATTTTTTATTTTTATTTTTTTTTCTTATTGAAGGAGCCAACAACCATTTGTTTGTTTTTTTCTGACAACTAACCATCCACCAAAATCAGGAGTGTAGCCTCTTCAAGTACTTGGCACGCAATAGTTGGGTCACTCGTGCCAGCTGTTAAACCCAATAGCTGTTTTTTTTCTTTTTAGAAATGGTGATGGTTATTATCTTTTTGTTTGAAAATATATTTTTTATTTTTTAATATTCACATATTAAAACAGTAAAAAATTGTAATCAAAAATAAAAAATCTTTAAAAACACTTTTTAAACAGAAGAATAAACATGCTCTTGGTTCTCGTGATTCAACTTTCCTTTCCATTAAGGTAAATTCCGTGTTAATAAAAACCATCTCACCTACTTTCCTTTCCAATTCATATTTTTGTTAGAATAAATGAATTCTAGATATTGATATCCAAACGCTCAGGTTTCTCATCAATCTAATGGCTAAACAATGGACATATTCGACTTTTGAAACACAGACCACGGCCCATTGGAGCATGCTGTTGCAGTACATTAATGAGGCTTCATCAGTACCTCTGATGGACCAATTCGAGCCTCAGAGTTTTTTGATGGGCTCGGGCATGAGTTCCAAGCATGTTGACCCGAGCCGATTATAATTAGTTCTGACCTCCGAGCTAGGCCAGTACTTTCAAGCTCCGGATGGCCCAGCGTACTGCCCTTTTCACTGCTCAGTTTGCTTTCTTAAGCTGGGTTTATACAATCTACATTAAATTACAAAATTCCAACCTTCACTTTTCAAGTTTTGATTTCTTATTTGATTTTTTAGGCCTTTTCGGTAGCCATTGGCACTTTTTTTTTTTCATTACATTTTTCTCAAAGTGTTTCCTTTTATCAGGGAGGAGTTGATGTTGCCAATATATTATTAAGTTTATTTTCTTCATCGTTTTGTCCTCTTTGCTGAAAGAAGTACTTTTATTTTGTTGTTCAATGTGATTAAAAACAACTAAGTAAGATGATAATGCACACACACATATTTAAAAAGTCGAGTTCCACATAAAAGTTAGCCTCAACTTCGAGCAGCATGGGCCTGACCAAAAGCTTCGGCAAAGCCCGGCCTTGCATCTGTTAATAAAAAAGTGGCATGTTCAGCACATTATTGAGCTCAGCCATCATCTAAAGCGATTGAGTTAGAGTTAGTGTGTGTTAAACAATATTTTTATAAAAGTGTTTTTTAGTAAAAAAATATATTTAAAAAATATTTGTTTAATTTTTTATATTAACTATCAAAAACCATGCATAAAAAGAATTAAGTTGGTTAAGAAAATACATATGGTTAAATGATTTTCAGAGTATAAAAGAATCGGACATTTCTTACCTTCAAAATGACATTTCAATTGAATAATTCTGTTTTCGATTGAAAAGTTGAACTCTGAATATCTTCGGATTAAGTCGTATTCGTATGTAAAACAACTGCAGCATTTCTTAGGGTTCGGGCTTCAATACACGAAAACTCACCAATCCCTAGTTATCCCCGAGGATCTACCATTGGGTCCATCATCCCTAGTTCGGGCTTCAACAGGGGGGAATCCCATTCATGACGGAGTAAAATATATTACTGAAAAATAGCAGCGCTAAAGATCACGGCCGAAAAGCTTCGCCAAAAAAGGGTTAAGAATAAAGAAAGCTAAAATTAGGGGGGGGGACCAAGATAGTTAATAATATATAGCCTTAATATATTCTCTTTATTCTTAGTTTTCCAACTTTGTAGATGTCAAAGGTGCTTAATTAACACACATGCATATATTCTTTAATTACTTGATCAGTGATCACGGTCAAGACTGAAAAAGCATCTAGGGCTAGTAAATAAATGCCCTAAAATATAATATTTATATAAGGCTAAAAAATAATGCTCCAGACACACTAGAGGTATACGAGATTATGCTGCCGATGGTAGATTTCTATGGTTAATCACTCCATCGTCAGTCAATGCCGCTATTAGGGGTCCAAGTTTTTCTTGATCAACAGGCACACTAATATTCTTGTAATCCAATGACTCATCCTCGTATATTTCCCACCACTTCTTCACCAAAAACTGGATGTCCTCTCTATCCATGTTTTCTTCCTTGCCAGTATACCTCCATGGCTTTGCTCCCTAACGATTTTGAACAAAAATGAAAATCAACTAAGATATAATGTATAGATTCAAATGTTTGAAAAACAACACTTTTAGTGACAAATATTCAAATGTTTGAAAAACAACACTTTTAGTGACAAATTAACTCTCTTACCGCAGCACAATAATGGACGACCTTCACTTTGTCAATCTCGAAATTCTCAGGATGGCGCCACAGCATCGCCGAGACAAGGTTGTACACAGGAGGGATAGGCTTGTACACATCCCTGAAGAACATGTTCAGAAAATCCTGCAAATCAAAACCAAAAACAAAGTGATAGATTAATGAAAAAACGCAAAGTCTGCCAGTTCTTTTTGGACGGTGCGAAAAATCCTGACAAAACAATCTTACTAGCATAGCCGAAAATTTGTATTTATTTGTGCCTAGGCAATAACAAAACTCTATATTCTCAACCACTCTAGATTACCTGCTCAGCAAATGAAGTAGGAGGGGTGACTTTGAGGGTCTCCAAGAGATCAAAGTAAGTTAAAAGCTTAGGCTCAAAGACAAACATGCCAGCATTAAAGTATAGAGGAGGAGGGGAGCCCTCCCCCTTAGGCCACTAAACTTTTCCAGGGCATTGCTGGCAGTATCCAATCTGATACTGAGGGGTGGTACTCCATGTCTTCTCACAGAAACAGTCCATCACAGCATAGAAATATCCATTCGGCTCATCAAAAAGATGATCAATGTTGTCAAAGACTTGAATATCACCATCAAGGTATATCATCTTCTCATAGTCCACAAACTACAAACAACAGGGGGAACACATATTAGATACTAAATTAGAGGCCATTATATCACATCAAATATGTAGATCCATAGCGCAAAAGAGAAAGAAAGAAAGAATCTTTATTTTGGTTAGGGATGTATATATGTCGTGTGTAGTTCTCTAGAATACACGTGGAGAGATTTGATTATAGCCCACGCTTACACAATTGCATGGCTAATTAACGCCTGATGACCGACTATAAAAGTAACATATCCAGAAAAGAAAGAAAGATGGTTAGGGTTGATAACTAATTACCTCCCAAATACGAAGTTTAGAGTAGTTAATCACATAATAAGCCATGGCAAATTGAGTCTGGTTTTCTGGTGGATACACTGGCTCAATCTCACGGACGATACAGCCCTGAGATTCTAGAATTTTGCGGTGCTCCTCAGGCACATCAGGTAAAATAGCCACCATAAGAGGGTATGAAGATTTCGCTTTCCTTAGACCCTTGGCTAAACCCACAACACCTTTCACATAATCACCATTCCCAGCCAAGAAAGTAACATATGCCCTCTTATGGGCGTCAAACGTGGGTTCGCTAATGGCATTTGGTGACATTTTTTAGATAAGGAGATCAAGAATAAAGAAAAGAAGAAACAGTTATCGAAGTTGCATGGGTATGAGCTTTAGTTCAAGGGGTGTTACTCTTTATATATAGGCATCGAATGGTCGAGGGTGGTGAAAATGGCAATGAACCAATTTAGGTTAAGATGATATTTTTTGAATCTAATTTCATAAATGTTAATTTAGATTCCAGAGCGTGGCAAGCATTCATATTCTGTTGCTTTCGTTTGGAGGTTACACTTGTCAATTTGAGCATTTGACACCTTAAAGCAACGTTTTTCCTTTTTCCTTTTTATTTATAACTAAAAGACTCTGCAAATTCGCTTAAAAGGGAGACCAATTTTTTATCTAATTACAATTGTTTTGATCATTCTCTCCCCTTGACTGAATTTGCTTTTGCATTATCATACCCTTGAACTTCAACGAGAATTTCAACAATACTCCTAGTGAGGGGTGAAGCTCATGTGTGGCTAGCTACTCTTGAAAATGGTGAAATTTTAATTAAAAATTCAAGAAAATAAGGGCAGAATCTGGTAAATCTCGATTTCTAGTCTTCAAATGCTCATGTTAGAGAGAATATTTCTAAGAAATTTATTTATTTTTCATCATATGTTAAATCTTAATTAATATGTTTATTTTATTAATTAGGATTTTGTAAGGGCGTCATAAACTCAATGGGAAAGAAACATTTCTCCTCTCCCTCCTTGATACACATATATGGAACCTAATCGTACCAATATTATATAATCCTTCTCAAGAATCGATACAATTGCCATCCCTAAAACAGATAAAACATGATTACCAATGACACACCCATGGGAGATCAATGATGTAGCTAGCTTTAGGAAATTAATGCTATTTATTCGGAATATACAATTTAATCAATTTTTTAAAGACTTGTGTTTCACGTACATATTTTTTAGCCATTGATTTACTTGAGATCAAACGGGTAAGATCAAATCACTGCTTTTATATGTTTATAATCATTCTTCATTGATGAACTTAATTACCATACATATTTGCTCTGTCTTTGGTATAATTTGCAATCTCTTTGCTCTTTAAGTATATATATATCTTCAATTTTTTTCTTTTTTTCTTTTTTAATTTCTGATTTTTCCCCTAACCTTGATAGCCTCAACTAGATCTATTATAGAATATTCCGATTCTCTAATAAAATTAATGAAATTCTTCTTCTTTTTTTTTTTTTTTGTAAAACTATTAGTTTTATATGCTTGTAAACCCCTTCCCTTTATATATATATATATATGGAAAGCCACTACACCCATGTTAATTTCCAACTTAGTGCATATTATTTACTCGCGATAATCTCTAATCTCATTTTAATTGACAAAACAGCGCAATCAAGCAATACACTCTATTCAACCTAGTTTAGCCTTAAATCGTTTGACCATGAGGCATGGAAAATCACGCAAGGTGGAAAAGACAACGTCAAGGAAGCATGTGAGTGCTTGGGTTTCGTTTCTTTGTTTTCTTGATAACATAGAAAATTAATCCATATATTAAAAAACTTATGAGGATCCACTCATGTAAACTTCTTGGCTGTTTATTTTTGGTATTACCTTTCAGTTGTTAATTATAACATAAGACGTTTCCTTTTATTAATAATTTATTTGCTTTAATTATGTTTCCTTATTTAGTCTTCCTCAATCACCACCAAGAATCTCTCTTCTTTAACCCGTATTTCCATATTTTTCAACTTTTGTTTATATATTCTCTATTAAAATTTGCTCTAAATGAAAAAATGAAGAAGGAAAACTTTAGACTTTATAACCATCAAGCATGGCTATTGCATTTAATCTTTTTCTTAAACCCGGCAATTAATGGAGATAATCCTGCATGTATAAAATAGTAGACCTTAATGATCACTTCTACTTTTCACGCAATATTCACAGTCATTGTATTCTTCACGGGGAATCATTTTTGGAGTGATAACAACTTACTTTATTTTGTTTTTCCTTTTTCTGATTTTCAATTTGTTAGAACCACAAGATCACTACATATTAAACGTGGCTATAAATGATTTATCATAAAATTGCATCTAATTAGAAAGGATGCACTTTAGGTAATAATTCAGAGAGTATCAAGAATATAATTAGGGAGAAGGGTGTAAGTATCTATTGGAAAGTAGCTAGTTTCCAATAATCCAAAAAAAATCACTACCTATTGAACGTGAAGGCTATAATCCCGAAAAAAAAAAATTCTTGATGGTAATAACTCGAAGAATAATATTATTTGACAAAAAAGATTGTGAGCTATCCAATCAGGTGATTAATGGAGGAGCTCTTGGTGGATTCTACACTAATGCAATGGCTTCTAGTTTTCTTCTTCTTATAACCGAGGAAAAAAAAACCCGTTATCATCAAAGAAGTCGAAGTTCTTTTCATAATCCATTAATTGATGGTTATAAGATAAAATAAGGACTTATATAAAGATGCGTTTTTTGTTTTCTTCCATATGGCTGAAGAAGAGAAGAAACAAGCACAAACGGAAATGGTCGGAGAGAGGAAAAAACAGTCCCATACGGTTCAAAACCGTATATATAAAAAGATCAAAGCGCAATATTCACTTCAGCACCAGTGGAAAATGTCCTTTTCAGCGATAACGTACAGCGATGGCATTTTCATCAAGACCCGAGACAAATACTATAGCTATGTAATTCAAAATATGATCATCATAGTAAGCACTTTAAAAACTGGAAATTAATCCCACCTTAACATTATGTCAATCATAATTATTTAGATAATTTAATTTATCATAACAATGCTTGTTCTTTTTCCTTTTCTTTCCCTTTTCTGTCTCAAGATAATTTGTTATAGTACTGTTCGAAACCTTTACAGAAAAAACACGCGCAAGCACATGAGAATTATGAGCAATCACTGTGCATTATAATGCTCAAATCACTCGCTATATATAGTTGCTGAAGAGAGGAAAACATCCGCCAGATATATATTTCTCCTGACAGAAAATGATTTATCGACAGGGATGATCATGGCTGCAGTGGTCGTCATATAATAACAGATAATTAACTATGAACTGAAAATACAACAGAATCATTTCCGTTTAGCGTTTGAATACGTGTCTACATGAATTGATTCATTCGGGCTGTTCAAAAAAGAACTGGTGCATGCAAGAAAATTGGAAAGTTGGAGTCGCTTGTCGGAATGCCACTCTCATTTTTTATGCTCGAGACGATACCAAAGATGATCGAACACGGGTATACTACTTGTATCGATGAAACAAGTGTGCATATTCTTTTCACACAAAAACACTTTGGAATCTGGCGAGTGTTGTGGAGTATGTGTCTTCCGGTTTAAGATTGTTGCAGTAATTGTTTTTTAAAGTAATTTTTTATTTAAAAATTTGTTAAAATAATAGTTTTATTTTTATTTTTTATATCATAATATCTAACAGAAACAATTAAAATATTAATTTAAAATAAAAAAATAAATTCAATTGAAAAAGATACGGGGAAGAAAAGGCTACAGAAGCATGGATCACTCTTTATCCTTCTACGTACAAGTGGAGATACCTGCTCGGTTCTTTAATTGCTCCAAAACTTTCAATTTAGTCTCAGGGAAGCAGTACAAACTACCAAGTATGTGAGGGAGGGACTCATCGTGTTATTTGATCCCTCTACTCTTTTTTTCTCATCCTGCGACTCCCTCTAATCAAGCAAAGTTCTTAATGTGTTCATTGCTGACACGTGGATTAATACATCACAAACACGTGTCCTTCTGTTTCTTACGTGTTATGGTAGATTTGGATGACAGTCGAGCATGAGGATCATATTCTGGAATTCTTTTCGAGCAGACGGACCACATGTATAAGCTTTGAAAAAAGTATAACCGGGACCTCATCAGAAAAAATATCAAGAACCAACCTTTTATTCTTTTGAGATTCAAGACGTTTTCCTTCGCAAGGAAGCATTATAGTTTTTGCAGCTGAGGTTTAAAAAAATATTTTTTAAAAAATATATTTAATTAAAATTGATATGAAATGAGTTTTTATAATGTGATAAATTTTTATGATAAAATCAAGATTTAAAATATAATTATATAAAAAATTTAATTTCAAAAACCAAAATTATTTAACTAATCAAATAATTTTTTATATCATGAAAAAAAATAAAAGCATAAACTAGCAAACAATTTGAAAAAAAATAAAAAATTATAAGAAACAAGAACATGAAAACAATGAAGATGTTTGAGAGTGTGGTTGTAATTATTTTTTAAAGTATTTTTTATTTAAAAATATATTAAAATAATATTTTATTTTATTTTTTAAAAATTATTTTTGATATAATATATTAAAATGATATAAAAATATTAATTTTATATAAATATTTTTTTGAAAATTAAGGAAACGCGTTTCCAAACAGGATAACATCTCAAATGCAAGTTCACGCTTTAAGTTTTTGAGTGGGCCTGTTGAAGGCCTAAAGGATTGAAATGTGCCCAGATAACCCAAGCTAATTTGGTGTCTGGCCCGCCTCTTGTTCATGGATGACAATGAATTTCTACATGCCCATTTTAAACTGGATCAGGTCTTGAATAACTAGGTTTGGATTTAATTTTATGTTTCCAATGGGATTTGAGACCAATCGGGATTTTATCCTTCATAATATTTAATGAAAAAAATATTAATGTTAATATTGTACTTAATAAAAGATAATAATAAAAATCAAGTCTTTTTTCCAGATGGGATCCACAAGCTGGGACCAGAAGGGCACGATGGTCAGGTTCAAGAAGGAAGTTGAAAGGTCAAACTCTAAGTCAAAGAAGGCTTGACGATCCAAGGAGCCCAAAATGAACGACACCTCCTTATTGTTGGACCCTTCCATTTTCACTGATCAGAGGTGAATTATCTATAGGCATTAAAACAAATGGGTCGCACCTTGAACTCTCGAAAATGCACATGGTCTCTCCTCTCTCTCCCTCTCGACTCTAATGCTACCTTGCCTTATCTAGCTTAAAAACTTGAAGACCTCCACTCGAAAGAAAACAGAGAGATGGCATCGTTGGTTCAGCAATTTGCAGGCCTAATATGCCCACCAATATCATCTTCAAGACTAACAGAAAGAGCAGCAACATTCTCAAAGCCAAAGAGGGCTGCTAACTATGTTGTAACAGCAAAAGCAGTGGCAATATCAGATGTGCAGACCAAAGAGAGGCACAAACTTAAAGAACTCTTTGAAGAAGCTTATGAACGGTGTCGTACTGCTCCTCTGGAAGGAGTTTCTTTTACACTTGAAGATTTTCATGCTGCGCTTGATACTTATGACTTCAATTCTGAGATCGGCACAAGAGTCAGTAGCATAACCTCACATCCTTCAATTTATTTTGTGAATTTTTCCTTTTTGTTGGTTCTGGCATGGAATACTGACAATGGGATGTTTTTGCTTGGTGGGTTTATGCATGGATGAGGAAATTTATGTGAATTATGTGGGATTATGGAATTATGGGCACCAAGAAAAATTGAAGCTTTCTGCTTTCAAATTCAGGGGAAAATGAAAATGGTTACAAGTTAGTTCTTAATTACGTTGGAAACGAGTGAACGATTTTTTTTAATCAATTAAGTGTTTGATGGTTAATCTTTCTTTGTTTTTATTGTTGTTTTCTATATATGTGTTCTTTTTCTTCCTAATAGTATGGGCAATATGCTTTGTCTATACGAATTTTGAAGGTAATTAAAAACAATCATATGGGAACTCCCATTAGACCCAAATGAAAAATGAAGCGAAATCTAGGCAATTATTTGATGTCTGACGGATAGTATATTGATTTCCATTGTGCATGTTTTTTTTACAATCAGGTTAAGGGGACAGTTTTTATGACTGATAACAATGGGGCATTTGTTGACATTACTGCAAAATCTTCTGCATATTTACCAGTGCAAGAGGCAAGCATTCACAAAATAAAACGCGTGGAAGAAGCTGGTATAGTTCCTGGGATGAGAGAGGAGTTTGTTATCATTGGTGAAAATGAAGCTGATGATAGCTTAATCCTGAGCTTGAGGTCAATCCAGTATGAACTTGCCTGGGAACGGTGTAGGCAGCTTCAAGCTGAGGATGCCATTGTGAAGGGTAAGGTGGGTATTTATGCTCCTGACATTAATTATATCTATACTTGTACAGATACTGCATTTCCTCCCTTTTCATACGAAATGTTATTATTATGTGTCTGGTCCAGTACTTTTAATTGGGTGGTGGTCAGGTGCAAAAATTTAGTTGTCATTTTAGTGCTTGCAGGTTAATCAATTTTTTGTTACTTATTTGCAGTGTGATTGCATGGTTAACTGTGGAATCTTTTCTTATCAGTTTTTGTTTCCTAATCACCTGCTTTTAGGCCTTTCTTAATAGCATGTGTGGTGTTTAAATCACAAATAAATTATTTTATTTTCCAAACTTTGAATAATGGAATGTGTATATAGGTTGTTGGTGGAAACAGAGGTGGAGTAGTTGCAGTTGTTGAAGGCCTTCGAGGATTCGTCCCTTTCTCACAGATATCATCAGTTTAGTTCTTGAACCAGGCTTGCCATATTGTCTGACTTTGCTTTCAGTCAATTCCAAATTCTCATCTTTCCCTGTTTTTGTACCAGAAATCATCTGCAGAAGAACTTCTTGATAAAGAGCTTCCCCTGAAATTTGTTGACGTTGATGAGGAGCAGTCTAGACTTGTTCTCAGTAATCGCAAGGCCATGGCTGACAGTCAAGCACAGCTAGGTATTGGATCGGTGGTCACTGGAACCGTTCAGAGCCTCAAACCATATGGTGCCTTCATTGATATTGGTGGAATCAATGGCCTTCTTCATGTCAGTCAGATTAGTCATGATCGTGTCTCTGATATTTCAACAGTTCTTCAACCTGGTGATACTCTGAAGGTTGGTTACTTGCTGCCATATTACAAAGAAGGTATTCTCTGTCCTTTTTCATATATCTAAACCATATTATGTTATGCAGGTGATGATTCTAAGCCATGACCGTGAGAGAGGCCGAGTAAGTCTTTCTACCAAAAAATTGGAACCTACTCCTGGTGATATGATTCGCAATCCAAAACTTGTCTTTGAAAAGGTAATTCTTGGATATTGTCATTAACCTTCCTTATTGTCAAATGTTTTGGATCACATAATATAAAGCTAGATGTTTTATGCTGTAGTATGATCACTTTTTTGTCCTTCAACAGGAGAGGCATAGAAGATGCTAGGAATTATTTCATCATTTCTCTGACGTGCGTTGTTTTCATATCTTTGTATTGTATTAATAGGCTGAGGAGATGGCCCGGACATTCAGGCAGAGAATTGCCCAGGCAGAGGCTATGGCTCGTGCTGACATGCTGAGATTCCAGCCTGAGGTACTTCAGTCATTTTCTCTGAAACTAAAGGATTTCATGAAGGCAAACAAAACGTTGTTTTCAGTTCTCCCTGTCATGTAAAATTAGATAGGAGCAAACTTAATTTTTTTTTAACGTGAATGAATTTGAGCAATAGCTTGTGTTTTGAATGATGATCATTATGAACCTCATTTAAACTAATTAAACTTATAGAATAATTTACATTTTTTCAATAATAGCATAAGGTCGGTTGTGATGATATGCATTAGACAAGACGCATGTTCCTTTTCACTTGCTTGGTCTGCTGGTGCTGGATGGTACTTATCTAAGGAGACGTATAATGCCTAAAAGAAAAAAACTTTCTGATCTACTAGTTTCTTTTTTCTTCTTTGGCATCTAAAGTTACCTGAATGTGTATTTAATTTCCATTATTTGAAAATGTTTATGTGGATATCTAGGCATATCTGAATTAGCTGGATTAACCTAATTGTATCTATCTGTACAGAGTGGACCTCTCAGCTCCGGTGGGATCTTGGGTCCGAATATTTCAGACTTGCCTGCAGAAGGTTTAGACTTGAGTGATGTCCCCCCTGCTGATGAGTCTGATGGCCATGATACACCAGAGGAAGAATCCGATTGAGTTTTAAGCTTTCTGCATTTCTAATTTTTTGCCTTCTTTGTGTGTAAAATATTTGTTCAAACGGCAACCCTTCTACTAATGAGTTACGAGGCCGCCTTCTTTTCAATTCGGTGTTGTTTTAATGTACAAGTATCATATGTGCTAGACAGCGCGGGTAGCAATAGGATTTTGAGTCTTAGGTAAAGTTAAAATTCCTAAAAAACATCTTCAGACAGGTTTAAACAATTGTCATTTTCACTCGAGCGAAATAATGAGAACAAAACTCCTTACTGATATCATCTGCCTTGCCATCTCCAGCAGGTGAATATTCTAATTTTGAAGATACTAAAAAGTCACAATATTTTAAGTTAAAAACCTATTTCCAAGTAAAATTTGGCGCTCGTATGATGCATTAACGAGAAAAAATCACCTTGTCCAATATGGAAATTTCCTAATCGTAACGGTTATACTGAATTCCCCTTCCACCCCCCCACCCCCGCACGTATCTAACTCCCAACCTGAGGCTTGCTTGCTAACTATCACCTTTGTTGTTCTTCTTACCTTTCTTCTGCTTCTGCTTCAATTGTGCAAGTCCTGCAGCAGTGATCTTTGCACTGCCAACAATTGCAGCTACTAGCTCAGTATCTGTACATGCTTTCATCAATTCTTTCTCTGTACCAGTTGCTTCAGGCATGTGGCTAAATAGGTTTGTGGCAGGTTTTGCAGCTAGAAAAACATCGAATCCATAGATTAGTCAAATCTCTACGAATTAAAAGCAGAACAAAATCCAAATTGCAAGGGGAGAAGAAAACCTAGAAGCAAGGTTCACCCCAAACCCCCCTAACCAGACAAATATAGCAGCTAGAATAGCTCCCCAATGACAGCAAAATATGAGAAAAAGAGATGCCCTTTCCTTTTTTTACAGTTCCAGGAATAATCTTCACGTGGTATTTGTATGACTGCATTGCACAGACAGGCACGGCATATAAAGAGAATATCGGTAGGCAGTGGATTCCCAGTTCAAATCATTTAACTTCTCTTTCTCTTCTTCGCCTATCTCATGAATATCTCCTCCATGGCCATCTTGTCCATCTCAGAGGTGGAATCAACCAAGCCCACACCAGGTTTATCTATAGCACCATTTGCACGTCTATTTGAAACAGCACAAAAAATCACAATTTAGTAAATTCTCCCTAAAATGGGATTCTTCATAAGCATAATCAAGAGAGCATTTGTGGAAGCACAAATGATCGAGTACTCTGATAAGTGATGTAGCATTAAAAAAAAATCTTGCATTGCCAAATTACAACCGGAAGTTTAGAGAACATACTGGCAACAGGTATCTTCCCTTTGCCAGTAGCTTCATTTCCATTTTGAATCTATCCATTCTTGCTTGTATTTCCAGCAGACTGAAAAATCATATGCATGGACAGCTTCATAGTGCTAGCTGATAAAGAAATGATACCGTGACCACTTGCGATATATTGCCATTCCTAAGAAGAAAATGCACTCGCTGGAAAGTTTGAAATCTCCTGTTCTATGAAGAAATGTAATTCTATAGATAGATCACAATTACATCCTACTACATTTAAAACGACCGTGCTAATTTAGTTAAAATGCTGTGTGTATATAGCAATTTGAAGAAATTTCACTATGTTGAATTTCAGTCTCTTTGACAAGTCCATGGTTATGGAGAGGTGGGATCCAAAATTATTTCTCTTCTACGAAAGAAAAGGATAGTACTAAATTGGCCACGCTTCAGCCCCAGAAAAGCTCAACTGTTATATTATTTCTTGATCTTTTCAAAGATGTAGCAAAATGTGGTGTCTAAACACACACACAGTTTTGCGTGCCATGGTTGAAAAATATTTGAACTGGGATCTAAAAAATAAAAGTAGATTAAGTCATAGTGCTCCCAGCCAGTAAAGCCATCCGAATGCTCCTCTCTTCCTCGTCCTGATTGCCATACTTCTCCTTCATCTATAAGGTATTCTCCTTGATTTAATGTGAGAGGAGGTACAGGTTGTTCAGGCCTGTGGTTTTTTATCACAGTACTAGTAGCTCCAGATCTGCATGGACATACCTGTTCCACAGTTTCAATGAATATCACTACAGCATTTACTAGCAGATTTCGTGTCAAAAAGAGATCTTACTATCTGAATGTTGCTAAGGATCAACTCAACCTCCAAGCGAAGCACTAAATAATATTTCTTGAGTTGACAATCTGAAGATTACAGTAAAAGACTTACAGATCTCCTTTTGACATATAACGCTTGACCGTCTTCTCATTTTGCTGAGCATCACGCCTGCTAATAACCAAATAGTTCCAAGTGCTGGTGAACCAGTTAAATTTCTCAAGCCAGTGAACCTTACGCATGTGTGATTTATATAGCGGCAACAGATTTTTCCTGCGTTCACCACCAGCATAGGCATGTAAACAACAAAATTCAGAAGACAGAATATCCCAGCTTATGATAACAATTAAAATACAAGAAGCACTTTCATAGGTGATCAATGATAAATAAACCCCCAGCAGATCAGGGGGTTCCTATAGGGGCCGGGTACACTCTACCTGAAATGAAAATGAGACAGAAATGAATGCCTGCCTATGGACCGAAGGACCTATGCTTGCTGCCTTCTCTCTACTTTCGAAACCGAAGCTTTCATTCCAATAGTTGAGCTATAGCGACTACGTACATACAATTTCACCTTTTTTGACTTAACCTTTCCAACCAAGCTACCTTCACTACGTTCAGCCCACAGAAAAGTCTGTTGTCATTGCTTTTTCGTGGTATGGACCAAAGAATGGGTTCTGCTGCTATCGACACCTACTAAATTAACCAAAAGTAATCGATCGAGACCGAGGAGAACTGAGCATAAGTCGGAGATCTTAGGTTAGGGTAGGGCTCAAAAAGGAATTTCATCCGTCACTTCGTTCATACCTTCTTGGCTTAGGCTTCCAACTGAACCTATTTCATAGCCTTTAGCCTGCCGCTAGCAGAAGCTAAGCGCTGCGCGCTAAAAACAGTTGCTTCTGCCGGCCTTTCTGTGCAACAGTCCACCAATAGCAGAAGAAAGGGTTACTGTACATACAAGAGTCTTCCAGTTCTTACGTAAGCTTTTTCTTACTAGTCAAGTAGTACAACAGCTGTATCTTATTTTTATAGCCCGGCGCGGCGGGTCGCCTTTTGAATTCCGTAGATAGAAGAAACTATTAGAAGGAGTAGGTGAGTGAGTGAGTCCTCACTGACCTGAGCGATTTGGATTGACTCAGAAAAGAAGAAAGAGGCGCAGCCTTGTAGAAGCGAAAAGAAGAGCTATGAACAGAGCAAAGTGACTAAATGAGTTCGATCAAAGAGAGAGAGGGACATTTATAATCTAAGCTAGAAGACGATAAGAGAAGACGATAATCGTCTTCTAGTTCTTCCTTGAAGGTGGACTTCAAACCTCATGCACATACAAGAATGCACGCAGTATTCAAAAATAAATGGTCTTTTAGTTCCCTTGGCGATCAATATACACCCTATTAATGCTTGTATGAAACAATGTAAACCTATGAAGTTTTACGCAGTGACATGATATCCCTCAGAATATGTAAGCTGCACATATCACTTGGTGCTAATGCTAATAAATTTTTAAGTTTTTAAATACATAAAATGCAGTTGCTTCTTGTAAGCACAAGACCTATATGCTATTTAATAGTTAGCAAAGTAGAAACTAGAAAGCATCGGAAGCCAGAATCCCGTATTACTGCATTTACAATTTAAATCTACCTGAGAAAGCTGGAGATGGATCTTTTTCTCAGCCAATTTAAAAGCTTTTTTATGCGGGGTAAAAGTTTTTCCCTGCTTGCGCTCCTGGCTTTTCTTCAGTTCATACCACCTCTGAGAGTTGGCATGTGCTGAAAGTGCTAAAACAACTTCTATCTGAGAGTGGAAATAGACTAAATCAATAGATGACATAGTAGCTCAAATCCAACGTCTAAACTGAACAATCACGTACATGAACTGAGATTAGCAACGAAAGGTCGATACTGTGAAAGACGGAGTTCCATGATTCACTCTTAGCAGGTGTGCTTAAATTACATTAGTCATAATTTGTACAGAAGTAACACCTTATACACTGGAAGTGTCTTTTCATCATCATCCATTTCATCGATATTATTGCTATTAGCAATGCCATGCAGTTCTTTTCAAAATGGAGCTTGTCAATTAAGCCAGCAATAGGGTTTCCTGCCATCTTCTCATCCTTCACCATCCGAGCAAGATCCTCCCAAACTATTCCCTCTGCAAGAGCTACAGGAACAGCTAATATAGCCGAATCAACACCTTGTAAGTTGTGTTCTATAAATTCTGCCATTTTGACACAACGGTTAACTTCTTTCCTCGGTGTTTTTACACGATTTGCCAGGACAGAATTGGAACCCAAAGAATGAGGATATGATAATAATTACAAAATATAGATAAAATTAAATCCAACATCGATTATCCATGACAATTAACTGAAATAACATAAAGCCAATGAGGCAATAAATAATGACGGTCCAAGTTTTTGTTTTGAATGCACATCCAGAAATAATAGAAAGCCAATTCAACCAAACAAGCTTGCCTCCATAAATAACTGCAGCAAACCATCAATTAAAGGGATTGGCGTAACGAACTCGTACGTAAGAAGCCAAGTCTAATCTCACAAGAGTTGAATAAAGAGCATATATATTAAGTACATCCTCCTCATAACCATCTTCATCTTATTGATTTCTCTCTCTTAATTTTGTTTAAGCGTCAAAGGGATACTGATCTTGGCAGTTAATCCCATCTGTCCCCCTTCAAATTGGATACGCGCCTAATCAATTTGTGCAATGCGATCGAAGGTACGGCGTTTTGCGTCTTGACCATCTCCCTCCTGTTATGACTTGTGAGACAAAGCACTCAGACTCGGCCAGTTCAGTGAAAAGGGAAGGAATGAAAGCCCAAAACACAATGAGCTCGGAGAGTAATTTGTACAGCGAATCTGTAAAGCGTCGCATAAGCAGAACTAATTATTTAAAATCAGATTTCCTCTTTGAGAAATATAGTTTCTATCTGAATTATGATATTCTAGCCAAACACAATGACCACGTCCCTGACCATCTACAGATAATTACACAAGCAAATACAATCGATGGACAGAAGTATAAGTGTATTCAACTTACATAAGAGTATAATACATAATCGACTACGTCCCTGATCATCTAGACACGAAAGCTTTTGCAGGGACCTGGTCGAGAAAGAGTCTTCTTTCAACTTACAGCCTACAAATCGCTGCAGGGACCTGGTCGAGAAAGAGTCTTCTCTTTTTACATAATGAGAAGCAATTCTTTCAACTTACAGCCTACAAATCGTATCCGTGGACAGGACCCACCTGTGGAAGCTCCAGCATGATTGAGTTTAGCCAAGCTCGATATATACTGCAGGGGTATCCACATATGTACACATGACCCCATTAGGGGATTTTCCATTAAATGAATCTAAAGGCTATTCTATTCTTATTTTTTGTCTCCAGTTTTTTCTCCTACAATCACCTGTCTCCAGCAAAGCAGTGCTGGCCCTTGGTACTCCAGTGTATTAACGGATGTTTGCAGGAGCAACATCACGTGGATTATGTTTTCTCCCCTTGGTTTTATCAAAACAAAACTCATCAGCTCAAATCGAAACCAGCATCCGCATTTATAGAATATAGCAATTTCGTTGCTAGCTGCTCTTTGCTGTGTCACAAACATGACAAGGTTGATTAAGAGAGTAAACAATGAGCTGAGTACTGATAAAACCTTTATATAGGCACCAAGACAACAAAAATGAATAGAATAAAGTTAACATCAGATTAGCGGATCCTATTACAGGGACAAACCTTCTATAAGGTGGAAGCTTTAGAAGATTCATGCAAGTAGCTGATGTCGGCAACCGGTCAAGAGCTTCCTCAGAAGCAGTACCCCCGGCCCTGAAGAAAAGGTTAAATAATTGTAGAAATCAATTTATAGTAAAAATCTTGACACGCATCAACAAAGAGGTTCACACAAACTTCAAAATCTGCTTCTCCTAATTACATTTAGTGCAGCTCTTACCTCTGTATACAAAACAAGGGTTCCAGATACTTGAATCCAAGCAAAGGTCCTCGAGAGCAACCGGTCACAAACCTATAAAAGTTGTTTTCTATCATTTTGGTACTATGTCTCAAGCTGACTGAGAATTGAGAATTGACATGGCAAAAAAAAAAAAAAAAAACCAAGAAGAAGAAGCTCACTTCAGAAATTTCTTTTGGTTTTCCAATGAAAAACCTTTCAGAACTTCCCAGAACATCTCAATAACATAATGCTCCTGTGGAGGGGAAAAAAACAGATTAATTAAGCAGCTTTTAATTGCAAGAAAATAGACATAAAGGTGGGCTTAATCATTCACTTCGGTATAGTTTAAATGCCTTGCTAGGCATGAAGTCATCAGAACATGAACACACGTCCCATAACAAATGACCATTCATTTCAAAATCCAGAGAACCACCTCACATAGGGCCACAACAGCAGCTAAATTTGGAACAAGATTCAGAATCTTAATCAATGCAAAGTATTTTTCTAGGAAAACAGCAAAGGTATTATATCTCCATCATATGTGAACTGCACATGAAGGAAAAATACAATTCCAAATAAGAATTGAAATTTACCAAAGCCAATTCTCAACCACTAAATTAACTCTAAAGATAATATGCTGAGGCCCTAGGTTGGGCTCTAGATTAAAGTCTCAAAAAAACATACATGCATGCACGATCATGAATGCCGAGAGGATGGCGTGCTGGCAGGTGAGTAGGATTAGTTTCGCCTTGTTTATAGTGGGACTTTTGTTGTCAGGGAGAAATTGTGAGCTTAATTTAGGTTCTTTGAATTAAATCATTTGGTTGCATTTTTTTCATAATTTTTAAGAGAACAGTTGTCAACTTTAAGGTTTTCTCTTTTTCTTTTTCTCTTCTTGCTTACTTTAGTTTCTCTGTAATAAATAATACACATAAGAAGCTGCAATAGAAAATTAAGGATACTCATATTTTTCCATCTAGAACTTTACAAGACAAACACAATTAACTTACGCTATGATAACCACCCGCATAATTGGTATGACTGCGCAGGTCATCAATATCCAAGCTGTCAAGTGAACCTGATATCAGGAGCTGTAAACAAATAGTAGCTACATCAAATAGAGGGAATAAGGGTTTGGGAGATATTTTTAAGTTTACACATAAGGCTGATGATTCTTTAGTGTATAATTTTTCTACTGATGTTAAATATGAGATTAGCAATGCAAGGTATCCATCTCATGCAAAGCTAGCATGATTTGTTCATAAGAATCTGGGTGAGAATACCTGAAGTTCATGCTCATTAAACATATCAATCCATTCTTTCTTTATAAGCTGCTGAAAGCCCCTCATGAAATGAGAACTTTGCAAACGTATCTGAAAGTGATATTACTACGATGATTAGATGACAACATTGCGTGAACTAGATGAACTACTAATGAAATGCTGGAATACCTGATAATTCAGACGATAATTAGATACAAGATGAGTAAAAGGAATGACATTGTCATTAGTGACACGTTGGTTTCGTCCCCCAGGAAGCAGCTCTTCTTCTGTTTGCTCGCCATATTCATTATTTACAATGACAAAGTAGAGCTCCAAGTCAGAAATATCACCTTGATAACGCTGCAGTTAAGATAAATGCAAGTAAAGAAAAAGGTGAGAACCTAAAATCAAAAGAACCAATGAGAATCTGAGAGGATGTCATACAGATGGAGATTCTCTCTATTTTTTTCCCGCATCAGTTGAAAGTTCCATTCCAACACCAAAAGAACGAGAAAGAAGGAAAAATATACTTCAGTGCCTACAGAAAATGAAACTAGAATCATATAATCTTAACCCCCCCTACATGGACATGCCTGCCTGCTTCTGAAAAGGACAAGGAAAAAGACTCCCTGCAGAAAATTGAACTAGCACCATATAATCTAAAACCCTCTAGATAGGCATGCCTGCTTGTAAATGGCCTTCTATGACAAAGTAAAAGCTATTTCATTCCCCAAGACCATGACACCATTCTGGTCCCATTTCTGACACCAAAAGTATGGAAGTCAGGTGATCAACTGATAGGAGCAATTACTCTTTTTGGGACAGACAGGAATAAAAGCTATAACAGCTGATCAATAGCAAAAACCAATTACATAAAGACTTATCCAGCTCATGAAAATGAACTACTATGTTCTGTATTTGGCTAAGCAATTCAAATGAATAAAACACTATTTCAATCCCTTAAGACATATCCCATAGGCCATAGACATATAACATTATGATGGATCCCCCCAAAATAGAGTTAATTCAAACTTTCTACTTTAGTTGCCACAGTGTTTCCATTTTTAACAGCAGCTCATTTCAAGGGGATTTATTTGTACCTCAAGCACAATTATAGATGAATTTCCAGTTTCCTGGTTGCTAAGGAATCAGTGCAAACAGAAGTTTATTGTTTAGCTGACAAGACAGTAGCAGTTACTGAAGCAGCTCATTCATGGTCAGTGGGAAGACAATAACAATAGTACCTTCAGGAAAATAAGGTGGCGATATAATTCTGGATCCAGTGAAGGCAAGTCATTCAAATAGTTGTGCCTGATCAACCAACAAAACCCGTAAATAAATACTAAAATTGAGCTAGAGATAGTACATGGTAACGAAAAACCAAATAGGTGAAATTGTCAAAATTAGTTTCTATTTCCTAAACTAAAATAATATGAACTTGCACAGATAGTTCAAAATTAATTATTCCTAAGGTATCTGCTTTGCAAAAAAATACATACATATACAGTGGCAGATCCAGAATTTTCGCAGCGGGGTCATTTAATAGCTCTTAATCATATTGCAAAAATAATTTTATGTAAATATTATAATAATGTTTTTATAAAAAAATTTGTATACTAAATTAATTCAAAACTAAATAAATATATTAAAAAAAATTTAATTTAGAAATAATTTCTTTCAAAAACTTTCAAATATAAGGAAAAGAAAAGGTAGATATAAAAGCAATGAATCAATAAATAATGACATTTTTTATTAGAAAAACACTTCCATACCATACGTTTTCCAAACAATTAAAAATTTTAAATGATTAAATTTGATTTAGCTTTTCGAAAGATTATAAAATGAGGTGTGAAGATTGGAGAAGAAACAATTAAGAACTATAACATAAAACATGAGTCTGCTACAAATATCAATCCCTATTCCTCTCAACCATTTCCTATGTGAACTCTTTTATTCCTAACATAACGTGCTTTCAAAATAATTTCCCTTTTTTCTTC